CCCATACTGTTTTTCTTCTTCTTCTTCTTCTTCTTGAATATCTTTGACTCGTAAAAAATTACGAAGATGACTAACGTAATTATAAATAAGATTAATTGTTCATTATTTAATCTAAACATCACGTTTTTCCAACGTGTATTATATCTTTTTCTTCTTCTAGTATTATCTCAAAAGTTGTTTCTAGGTATCCACAAGTTTCATTTGTGAGTAAAAAGTAGTTTTTTATTTTTCCTCTTAGAACATGTACCAATGACGTAAATGTAAAAGGATTTTCCATGTATACATGTGTTTTATTTGTACAAGTAGTCATGCACTACTTATAATTATTACATGTGCAAGAACACTTGATTCCCCCCCATCCCCCTCCAATTGAAATCCCTCCCCCATCCCCCTCCAATTGAAATCCCTCCCCTTTTGGCCCTTATCACTGATAAATTAAGTTATACATTATTTTCTACTCTTGTTAATCAGTTTTCAAGTTGTTAATTTGACGAAATCACTAGATCATGACACGATTACATTTCCTTTTCTGTATATTCCCAATGGAAACGTTCAATACGGATTGATTGCTGATTCATTGAAAATTAAAATACAGTATGAAACATTAAACAGCATGTACTTATATCAATACATATATTATATACATGTGTGCTCGTCTACGAAGCGGATATTTATCTTTACTAGATTGGCCAATATATTTACTTGATAACTTCCAATAAATGATACCTACAGTTGCACAACAATTAGTCATTTAAGTGGTCAGACACATTCCTTCGTGTGATAAAATTCAACCAATTACTTTAATTCAATGCGAAATTTGAAGAATTAGGATAACTACAGTAATCTTAATATTATCTAATTAATAATATGGCGAATAATATTTAGAACAAAAAAAAAAATAAACCCGTTTACTGTAACGGGCAAATATTTCTAACGATATTATAATATTATATCGTTAATTATAATATTTAAATATTTATAACGTAAATAAATTTTTTATATTTGATTGACAACGCGCGACGTCTCATTTTAGCAATGTTTTAATTAGGTCATGTAAGATTTGAAATTTTGTGTTAACAAAAATGGACAAATTCTATTATAAATATAATTATATAATTAAATAAATGGAATTGTGTTGAATAACTCGGATTAAAATAATTATAAATAAATATATTTATTTTATTGATTTAGAAAATGTAATATTATGAATTTTGATGCAACGTATTACAAAATTGGGTGAACTTGTTTATATCCTGTAAATTGAAATTATTTCAAAATTTAACATTAGATAATATTATAATTGCAATTATTTTATACTCAAATAATTTATAGATTTTAACATTTTATTAAATTTTAAGATTCATGTTTCATCATCTTACTTTCGAATTACACATTTCATGGTAGATACGTGATTTGGGGAATTTTTTCTACGAATCGATTTGGGTAGCGTTTACTTTCACAGAATGAAAGGTCACTAACTAACGAAAGAATGTTGAACAGTCATTTAGTCATTCCTTTGCGTTCGTTCGATGTCAGAAAATTATTGTATTGGATTATCCGGAAAGTCCTGCATGCCGATTTTCGGTATGCAGGTGGCATCAAAAGACAAGTCTTAATATATTACAAAAAAAAAAAAAAAAAGACTTAAAATTTTCAAATTACTTGGAAGATGAAGAAACACAGAATATGGTACATTATATAATTTAATAAATTTATAACAAAAATTTCAATGTTCGTTCTCTGTTTTAATCTTTCGTTAAAGTCTGCATGAACTTTCCAGACAATCCAATATTAAAATGATTGGTAAAAGCGTATTACAAATAATCAATAAATACTGTTTTTCTAATATGTAACGAATATTGCATTATTTTATGAAATCACATGAATTAATTGCACACTCATCTTTACTTTGATACTATCTATGTTTTTGATATTTTACGTTACATTACTATATCCAGTTAAACATCATCTTTATTTAGAAACTATCTATTATATTTAACCTCACGATAAGAATGTATCTTGATGTAATACTTTGACTTTTAACTTTTCTATAACGAATGGAAATTTAATAAACGTTTATTAAATGTTTCATAGGTATTATTAAATGTTGATACGATAATGTATATCCTTTTTTATTTTTTTTTTTTTTTGTAATTTTAAAATATTTTCTTTCAAATCCTTTTTCAAATATACAATTTCCGGTTTCATGTCATTGATATCGCATCTTTATCTCTCTTTGCATTTTTATATCTGTTATTTTATATCTATATTATTATAACTATACACACATACATACGCACTATCGCTAGGGACACGATGTTTCATGTCAAGTATACTTTAAATAATCGCATATGTTCGCGAACTGTTACGAACAAGCCAATACCTGGAATTTGAAAATGAGAAAAATGTTTAGATTTTTTGTCCTTATCTTTGTATTAAAAGAGGTTATCAAATGGTCATGAATATTCGTCAAATTAAAATTTCATATATAAGTGCGATAATTGTTACGGACTATGTGTGTGGACGAGCTGACTATGCGAACCAATTTATCTTTTAGGATTTATTTGTGATAAGAGTGTAAATTATTAAACGTTACATACGTAACTTTTTATTAAAAAAATAATAAAAATTTATAATTGTGTTGTCAAAATTATCAAAATGTATAACAAATTTTCAATACAATAATAATCGGATAACGAATTTGAACACGTTCGATAAACGTCACACATATTTTTGGTTAAACGTTAAAATTAAAAAAAAAAAAAAATAAAAAAAAAAATAAAATAAATCAAAATTTAGTAAGAAATGTAAAAGATAACGAAAGAGAGAAAGAAAGAAAGAAATAGCTTCTCAAAATATATTAATCTACTAAATGTTTACGAGTACTCCGGTCAAAGTACGTGCTCGAGCTGCAACAGGTGGCTTTCCATGTTTCTCTCTCTCTCTCTCTCTCTCTCTCTCTCTGTCTTCTTTTTTCTCTCTATCTTTCTTTTTTAATTTATCCGAGACATTGGAAATACTTCACTAGACTTCCCTTATTTATTACGAAAGAAATAAATAGTACGGATTATTCACGATAATGTTGCATTCTCAACATGGTTACGTATAAAATTGCATTAGAGATACAAATTAAGTTTTAAATAAACATAATGGAATTTCCTATCTACGATCAGGTTGTTTCCGCTTGATGTTGCAAAATTATGTTATCTATGTATGTGTGTATAGAAAAGGTATAGTTCAGTAAGTATTATAATTATTTTTCTTTAAAAGGAAAAAATACGATCATTTAGGTATTTTGAAAAGTGTTCTTTGATATTTTTACATACAGATATCAAATTTACATATTATACAAGTAGTTTTCATTTACGATGGATTTATACTTTAAATGAAATAAATTTTTAAACAAATTTTCCAATTTATACTTTAAATAAATAAAAAAAAAATTATATTATTTATTTTTAATTTATTTTCTTCGGTTTTTTTTTTTTTTTTTTTTTTTTTTTTTTTTAAGGTACGATATTCAAATACATTTTAAAAGTTAAGATTGCAATTTGTATAATAGTAAATAAATGATATATATTTCTATATATATATAAATGATTCATAGATGATAAATAATTTTTTAAAATTATTTTTTTATTTATATAAATAAATATAAATGATTAATAGATGATAAATAATTTTTTTGAATTATTTTTTTATTTATATAAATA